ACCTTGCCAAAGCTAGATCGAAAAAAATCAGGTATAAAGCAATTGCTGTTCCGAGCGGATGGACTTAGTTTACAGCGCTCTAGAAAATTATCAATTATCGGGATTACACGCAGTTACCTTGGTTTGTTAGTTAATGAGGCTCTAAAGATCGAAGTTACCGGTGAAAAGAAAACATCTTTTATTTTATTCGCATCAAAGCGGATCTGATGGAAACCAGCTCACGACTGCAGCATGAGTACAGTAGGAGACTCGTAGGTAGACGAGAAGTCTGCAGATAAAATGTATACCAATTTATCGCAGGTGCATTGGTTGCTGTCTTCGTGAAGGCCAGCTATGTAACTGTCGTCGTAAAGCGGATGAAGGCTTTTAGGTTGCTGGATGCATACGGAATACGTCCTATTTGGTTGCAGAAGACTTACGAGTTCATGATAGTTCTGTTGCTATCTGATTCACTGCTACCATTGAGCATACGATACAGGACTGTAACTTCAGTCACCGGCTTTGCCTGAGCCAAAAGAATAGATATGTGGCAAGCTACAACTTTGCATTTTGCCTTTTTTGCAAGTTAAAAAAACCCTAAAAAATCAATCGTTTTCGGATTATAGCCATTCTATCGAAAAATAATTTTATGAATTGCGATAAAGTGGGAGGTAAATATGATCTAAATTTGCAGTACCGAAGTCTGTGGTTATACATACAACCACCCTACGTACAGGAACAATAGGTACTGTATTTGAAGAGGCACCGCTGCCAGCAATCAGTGTCGTATGGCGACGTAGAGATATCCATTCGAAACCGAAAAATTGATAAATGTCCATATCGGGGCGACATGTCGACTGTTTTTTTTCATTATTTTACATACAACGGGGATACGAAATACGTATAAGCGTTTGAAAAATGAAAACAATCCCAAAGTAAACTATTACTTACATATAACCAGATGCGCTTTATAAACACGAGTATAATCATACTCTTAAAAGGTCGCTGGACACTCGTGCGAAATGTGGATATAAACAATACATCACCACGCTAACAACTGGTGAGTTTACCTGTAACACTACTCAATAATCACAGTTCATCTGCAGATACCATACCAATATCTTCCGCCGTAGATCGAGCCGAGACAACGGTGGCGCCACCTACCGATGAGAACTGATGGATTCAGTTGCACACATGTACATATGTCCTTTTCGAGTTTTATTTTTTAATACATGTATTACATTCGCAAATGCCTTCGCATTGCATGTTTGCATGCACTAGCACGCGCACGCCACTAGACACTCAATTGGGTCATTTACAGAGAGCTACAAATAGCAGGTTAAAAAGTCAAGTTGGGGCCAAATAAGCAACAGGGGATGGATTACAAGTGAGTATATATATATATGAGAATAATTAACGGGATAATGTGCAATTGTAAACGTTCCTCTGTCGCCGTTTTCTCTGAATCTCGAAAATTTGATAAAAGGACAATCAAAATTTGCTCGACACGAGCGCCATGCAGTCTACATAATTGGAGAAAGTACACTAGAAGCCCACCGCCCAGGCGCTATACTCTCGTTACTAGGGGATAAACGAGCCTAAACTCACAGTATGGAACTGCCAAGCCGTTCATCCGCGACTCCAAGGACGGCGTCCTTAATCGGTAAATTTTGACGCAAAAAGTGTCGAAGAAGTGGCGAGACGCGACCTTCGTTAATACACTGGACATTTTCGAGAGCTTCCACAACTGATCCAAATGGGACGAAAGCAGTGGGTTTCAGGAAAGCATTCGGATGCGCTGAAAACCGGCGCACTATTTCATCGAATTCTTTGATGAGAAACAAGCTGTATCCAGAAACATTTTCGAACAGAGCGAAGTGCTGTTTTGTCTAAAAACAATCATAATTTAATAAAAACCAACTAGGACTAACCCCCATCGGCCCACCAAGGACAAATCACTTGGAACCCTAAGCAAGCACGATGTTCACCCAATATTCGTCAAAACAGGCGCCGTTAATATAAATCATTTACTTCAGTTCAAGGTAAGGGCAAATGAGAACAAGACCGCAACAGATTCAGAGTTATCTCGGGGACTTCCTCTCAGAATATGTACGTTTCCTTAGCCCATGTTGCGGACTAGAGAATTCAGTAATAATCTAGAAGAATGGAGATCTGAGCAGATAATAATCGGAACGATGAAGAACTCTGATGTACTAGAGTAGTAGTGAAAATGTTATTCCTAAATGGTATACCAAATGAAGAAGAAACTTTCACCAAGAGAGGTTTATTAGATGTCGTATTTGAGTCAAAACCTCAAACCTCTAATAAAACTCCGTCGGTGAATGCACGTCCTCTTGATATCGCAAGGTAGTTGTAGATAACTCACAGTAGTTATTTTGTCCATTACGATTCCATACATATGTAGACCCAATGTTTATTGTAGTTATTACCTTCAAAAATTTGATATTTTGCAATAACTTTGCTTATTAAGAGAAGAGAAGGAAGGTTTATGACCGCAATTTTCTGGATAAGTTCGCTAATAATAAAATCGTAACCAATTGAGAGGTCAAAGTCAGTACACGCACGTTTCTGATCATTTCTCATTAAGCAGTTCATTAATGGAGATGATGGTCGAACACCTGAAACTGATACGCAATCAATGATCGATGGCAATGGGGGGAGGGGCAAATGCTGCTTAAAAAAACAGAAAGGGTGGATGTTGTTTTAGTTCTGTCAGGGACGTACTGAATGTAGAAAGGTGGCAGTTGGTTATGATTGAGTTTCAACTCTGTAATATGACGTGGTGGATTGTGAGGTGGAACACGCTCAGTATCAAATAAACGCATTCACCATGCACCAGATTGTATCGAAAAAACCTTATGTTTACCACTCTTTCCTCGTGAATATCAGTGGACACATGTAATTGAAGTGTTTCTTAACATGCCCTTGCTGTCAACTACTCAAGAGCTCAATAGGGTACTCAATGGCTTATGTATATTTACCTCAAATAACTGAAATAAAAATTCGGCATACAGATCAGTCTCGCGAAACACCACCGCACTCGATGCAATGAAGACCCACCAACTCCACCTACTGCCTCCAAACGGCCCCATCGCTGCCCTCTCAATAATTAAAAGGTGACGGCCATCGATACAGTTGATCACACCCTAAATGCCATGGCCCACCTCCACGAACATGATACCCATGCCAACAGCGAACATGGCGATTAACACCTTTTCCACTACTAATCTCGAAGAGAACAGCCCTAAAACCTCGTTAATAAATACTCCCAGCAATGCGGACCAATCCCAATCTTTTCTTTTTGTGATCACACAGTTACTTCACATATCAGCCTGGAAGTTCGCTTGCAAATCCATCGACTCGAGCCGGGACACAAGTCTCATGAGACCCACCATACACTGCAGGCTTCGGTTTTTATTGTTCACATTGAACACGCACACTCACTCACCGTATGGGTCTATTTGACCAAATGCGTATTTACGATGGCACGCATGGGTGCAAATGCCCATCGCCCAGCCATCTTTGTCCGATCCCTTTTCCGGTCTTCTTGACTCTGTCTTGACGCCGGATTGAGGTAGGCGAGGGAAGGAAGAATGAGTGTAATTTCCGGCTGAACAAGCTTGGAATTCTCCACATCTCTTCTCCAACGAAACTCCTGTTTGACCTGCAAAGTGATTGTTTACCTCTTTCGAAGGCTGCCCCTTCCCCCCTGGAATGCTGACTGCCCATGACTGACTCAAATGCGCATACTGCCCTCCCTCGGTCG